ACGAAAAAAAAAAAAAAAACTCCCGGTCCTTCTCCCGCTGCTCCCGCTCCTCCTCCCTCTCCTCCTCCGCCAAACAACGTGACAAAGATCCTACCTGCCGGAGGAGGCCCCCCGCTCCTCCTCCTCCTCCTCCCGTTCCTCCTCCCGTTCCTCCTCCCGCGCCCGCAACCACCCCTTCTCCCGCTGCTCCCGCTCCTCCTTCCGCTCCTCCTCCGCCAAACAAAGTGACAAAGATCGCGCCATAGCCATCTCCTACGAAAAAAAAAAGAAAAAAGGCTCCCACTCCTTCTCCCGCTCCTCCCCCTCCTCCCGCTCCGCCTCCCGCTCCCGCTCTGCCTCCCTCTCCTCCCCCTCCTCCTCCCGCTCCCGCTCCTTCTCCCACTGCTCCCGCTCCTCCTCCCGCTCCCGCTCCTTCTCCCACTGCTCCCGATCCTCCTCCCTCTCCTCCTCCGGCTCCCGCTCCTCCCACTGCTCCCGCTCCTCCTCCGCCTAACAGCGTAACAAAGATCCTACCTGCTGGACGTAGGCCCCGCTTCGCACCTGCCCACGGGCCGAACTTCAACATGACAACGTCCTACCTGCCGGACGTAGGCCCCGCTTTGCGCCTCCCGGCGGACTGCCGTTGCACGAACTTCCCGCCGCCGGTCGCAGCCGAGTTTTGGTTCGGCCTGCCCGGTGGGCCTGTCGGTTCGGGCCCGGCGCGTTCCCAACACAGGAATCGGGGTCTCGCGTGGGACGGTCGCGCGAGACCCAGTATTGGGTTGGAGATTGGAGATAAATAGGGCCTCGCTCCACTACTGTCCACTATACAAAAATGGACAGTGGGAAGTCGCTCCACTTACTGTCCACTATCCGTGTGTGAAATGGCAAGGAAAGTTGCCAGAAATAGGGTGGAAAATCGACTGTCTGCACAAGTCTTTTCGTGGGCGGTCCTGGTAGGAACCCACAGACCCTCCGCCTTTTTGGACAGCGAGCCTGGAGTCTGGGCAGACAAAATGCTAGAGGCCGTGTCTCGTAGTGCTGCAACAGTGTCTCGTAGTGAATTCACATATTAGGGAGTTGTATAGTGGACAGTTAGAGGCCGACCGGTCGCGTGGCGGACCTTAGTGCGCTAATTGTGCGCTAATCCTGCGCTAATGCAAGGCTTTGCACCATCACGACTCTCGGGAGTCCCGAGATGACTAAGCAGGTTGGGGCTGGAGGTCGCTAGCCACCCGGCATGTGGTGTGCACATCGTCGTTATCGACCTTCTTTAGATGTGACATCAGCTTCCGCGCGGTATAGTTCATACGGCGTTTCCCCTTGGGAAGACCTTGGGGCAGGAAGAAGCTGGTCTCCTATGGGGACAGCGTGAAATGCCACTGCTATCGGTAGCGGCGCTTCCAGTAGGAGTGGGAGACCTACAGGGGGCGGTGGGAGCGTCACCAGTATCTACGGCCTGCTTTGCGCTGGTTTACACGGACAGTGGAGCTATGGAGACTTCTAACGAGAGACCGTGTGACTGTATGGCCAACCATAGCCTCTGCTATGGTGTTGGTACCTCCAGCTGCTTGAATGGGCAGAGGCCAACCCTGCAGCCCCTCCTCTCAGCTTACACTTTCACAAGTATATTGTTCCTGCTCAAAGTGCTACTGGACTTCACTATTCTTTGTAGACACGTTTGTGTAGCAGGAGCACAAAGCAGAGAAGAAGATTGTACCTATCTGCAATTCTGGGCTGTATACATCGTGACCCACATAGAGATACCTATTGTAAAACGATGACAAGACTTCAAGACGCAGGGAGTTTGACGGGTGGCAGCAGCGCTTCCAACTCGGCGTTTCCTGAGGCAGTGGGAGAGCCAACGGTTGCGGTGGGAGCGATGTTGGGAGTAGCATGCCAAAAGCTAGTGTCAGTTATTTGCCACTCTTCAGGCGCATCTAGTTATGATTCCTGTTTCAACGTCCCCTGAAGATTTGTGTGGAGAATGGAGACCATATTGGTCAGTGGAATATTAGCTACCCCTTCGGGAGCACGTAGCCGGAATTTCGGGCCATATTCAATGACTATTTTTCTGCTCCTAGCTGTAAATCTAGGCTTGATTCACTTTGGTCACTCTATAGCGAGCTGTCTTTCATTTCATAATTTTTTTAGGACAGATGACACTTTTTCGATAAAATCACACTCTCTAAATTCTGCATCTAAGTACGATTCAAGACTAGATGCACTTAATTTCACAGCATGTTGGGAGGTGTAATAATTGTCAACTATTGTAGGGGAATCGTGCGTAGCGTGTTATTTGAATGTAGACTCTACAGTAATAGTCGCAGTAATTGTGCACTTAACAATCAGAAACGGCCGCTCGCGTGCCTGTGCTCGAACCATCCTACAAGAAATTCGGGTTATGTTAAATTTTCGAATTTCGATGTTTTGTTACTGGCCTAATCATTAGATAGAACCATTGATCTGAGTTCCTAAGTTGTTGTGGTCGGCCGTAGCTGTTGGTTAGAATCGTGGACGTAGTTTTAGCGCATGTGAATGAGGTTCATCTTCTTCCTATCGCATATAGTTGCACCTTCCCTTCGACCCTATTTGTTACGAGGTTTCATTGTTTACTGTCACCATGACGCTGAATTAAGGCTTAGCTTGCTTTATTTCTGGCGATTAGGGACTTTGTAGGATATTTCAATTCCTTTGCTTTTCACTTTGCCCTGTTCGTGGGACATAATCATTGATTATTGGCACGCTGATGTGGGATTTTCCCTGATTGCTTTATGCATATACTTGCATCGTACTTCATGGAGTGTCCGTAACCTCCTCGGTGGGAGTGCCCGTCCTCTGTGGGAAGGCCTACCTCATGTACCTGGCCGAAGATGAAGACTAGTACAAGAAGTGACTTCAGTCACAACTCTAGGCCAGATTCATTGAGTCACCATGATATTTTTTAGCACCAAGTGTTGGTGTAAATTTGTTGACGTGGCAACTGTGAACTGGGGCTCAAATTTGATGAGCGGGCCTGACAGCCTCGGCCTGGATGTGACTTCTTGTCAGCCACGAGGCTTACTCTCTTCAGGTTGGTGTTTATTTAGGGGAGAATTGCATTATTCTTCCTGTTTGTTGGAGGTAGGGACCTCGTCTGAATAGTAGGGGTGTATAGCTTTGTGGCTCGTTTTTGTCGGAAGTTGAGCTCATTGCAGTGTTCCTTTCATAGGTTTTTTCGACTCGAGCTTCATAGTGGTCCTTCTCATCTTGTTTCATGGCTTGTTTTCGTTACGCTTTGGCAGGTATTTGTTTTTTGTCTGGCCTACCGATTGGGTTTTAGTTTATGTTTTCAGAATTGGTGGCGAAGTAAATAGGATTTCGTTTTTGTTTTGGTAGTAAGTTTGAACATGAGCAGTCTTCACCATTTCTGGTTTAGGATTTTCTTAAAAAGACTTCCTGGCCTCAACTAGCCCCGAAGGGAAATTGCAAGTCTCTAAATGGCTATGTTAATAAGACATAATGCAGATTGGAGGCCGAGTGTAGGCCACGAGTTTTACGGTTAAAATACTTGGCGAAGAGATCGAGGATAAATCTCATTTGGTTCTCCCAGAAGAGCTGCCTGGTGCAGACAGTGCGGTAGTACTAAGTTGAATGAGAATGAAGCATTCAGAGGAATTAGCCTATCGGTGCGGCAACGCTCTTCCGTTTATGAATTAATTTTTTTTTTTGGAAGTTAAGGGACATTGAACCCGGTTTCCAGGAGCTTAAAGCTGGGTAATGGCCTGAGCATATCAATGTACCGGGTTGTTTTGTGGGGTGTATTCTCGGGCCCCTGTCCTTAGCTTTGTAATTAAACACTCGCACTTAAAAAAAAAAAAAAAGTGGACAGTTAGTGGAGCGATGCCCTGTTCCGAAGGTTTTCTACAATACTGAGAGATGTCCACCAACTATACAAAATTTTGTACTGATAGACCGCGCCAGGCGCGGTAGCGCAGCCAAGGAAACACCAGGGGCACCGCTCCACTGATAGGCCCCACACCTCCTGCCCATGCATCCGGACACCCTTCACGAACGTCGACACATTTGACTCTCTTCCCCAACCATAACAGTAACCGCTCCGCGCAAAACAAACCGCCCACCCCAACCACTACATTATCGATTCACGACAGAGACGTCTTCCGCGCGGCCCGTTTTTTTTCTTCGATTTTTTTTCCTTTTTCTCAACGCCATGTCTGCACATCTCCACAAAAGCGTCCAGATTCAGGCGCTGTTCACCGCCCGCAAAACCGAGCGCCCACGCCAAGCACGTTTCACGACAGGAACGTCTTCCGCGCCGCTCGTTTTTTTTTTCCGAATTTTCTTTCTTTTTCTCAACGCCTGAATTCAGGAAACACCATGTCTGCACATGTCTGTAGAAGCGTCGAGATTCAGATGTTGAGATAGCTCTACGCTGCTAGTGGAACTTGCCCCCTGTAATTCGTCCACCTTTCCTCCCAAAGAGGAAGCACCGGGGCCCGGGTCCCACTGCACATCGTGTCGTTGTAGGAAGAACACTGTGCGGCGTGGGCGAGTCCAGTAGGTCGTCGATGGGTGTAAGAATCGAAGGCCTTCACGCGTCCCGGGCAAACGGACGAAAAAAGCGTTTCTTCGGTGTCCGAGGATGAAATGTCATTGGGCACCGCTTTTAGCGCGGGCTTCGCTATTGTGTAGTTTCCTACACTCTCATTTGCACGGCAGGAAACAACACAAAAAATGACATGCGCGGTACGATGCAATCACTCCATAACAGTCGATAGCGTACTGTCAGTCAGGACAACTTTTGTCAGCTTCGATTTTGGGTTAGCAGGTCATTATTGCTTTCTCTAAACTGAATTGGGTCGGTGGTCGTGACCTCTTACATCTACACATGACTCTATGCGTCCGCAATGGGCCTCTCTCCACTACACAACACTCTCTACGCATTTGGAAGCTTTCCTGAGCAGCTGCATTCCGGCAAGTTCGCAGCCCTTAGGCTGCAGTATAGTGTGTTTCCGCGTCTGTGTCAAGGTGTCGCATTTTTGGTGGCGGGCGACCAGGACGCAAAGTGGGTTCTTAGGGGGCAAAAAAATTTGGGGGACCGGCCCTTGGCAAAATTGCGGACTACCTACAACTAGTTCTTCTAGAACCGGGACTTTTGGAAAAAGGAAGGACCGGTCCTTGGGTGGAAGTGGACCTCAAAAAGAAGTGGGGGGCATTGGACCGAACCCCAAAAAGAAGTGAGGGCATGTGAACTGCAAAAGGGCCCTCAGGTCCAGGCATTGAGCCCCGTCTTCTCAAAACAGGGAGGTCAGGCACAACGAAATAGGCGTTTTGCAAGAGGCAACTTTGGCGATTTTTTGTGCTCGAACGAACATGAACAAAAATCTGAAATTTTGAGAATCCATAGATGAGGTCGTGTTCTTTCCTGAAATAATAATAGAACATTAAAAAAAAATCATTTACACTGCGAAATAATTGTCGCACCGATTCGACACATTTTCCATTTTTGCCACTCAGCCATGCCTGGGCCAACTAAAAAAGTACTCCAAATTCAGTGAGCTTTCACGCGCAAAAGAATGCGTGAAAAAACCTGAGAATTGGAGTACTCGTAAATTTTGTTGTGATCTCCAGGAAAAAACGTTAAATAAATTTAAAAAAATCGTTCCAACTGCAAATGGCAAAACTACGGACTACCTACAGCTAGCTCTTCTACAACCGGG